GATATGTTCGTTGATAAAATAACCTTAAAATATTAAAAAGTTATTGACAAAAATAAAAGCAAATGTTTACAAATATTTAGATCCTCCCTTTTTCTCCAAAGCATAATATTTTGCTTTTAGGTACACTTTACAAAAAAAAACCCCAAAAACTATTGCACTATATGGATCCAAATTTTTTACACTTATATACAGAATACCTATGCATATAGGGAATTTGTTTTTTTAGTCGAAGTAGTACATAGTGTTTTAAAAAATACTTTATGAGTGAAGAAAAAAATCAACATTTTCAAAATTACAAAGTTTCAAAATTTTTTTTAAATAAACTATCTTAATATTTTACTAAAAAAATAGGCTCACTCTATTTCGTGTATTGTTTTATATATGTGCAAAAATATTTTACATATTTAAGAGATACTTTCTTAAAAAAAATAGCACCTACATGTAAGCATGTATTATGACGTGTCAAAAATATGTCAAACTTAAATTAAACAAGACAAAAAAATAACTAAAAAAATATTTTTTTTATATAGAATGATTAAAATTTTTTTATTATATATAAGAATATTTTAAAGATATATGTCCCATAAGCAAAGAGTCTTTTGTGCAGTTTACTCTTTTGAGCTTGTCCTGGTACCCTTAAATAATGAATGGAAAAGATTAAGAATGGCAATTTAAATAAAAGAAAAAGTATGAAATATATCTTATTAAAATCTACTTTAATTTTTACTTTGTATGAAGATACAAATTTCGGAAGCAAAATTTCCGCACTACTGCAGGTTTAAAAAATTAGCATCAAATTTTGGGGAGAAAGAATCTCATTGTAATGAATCATCAATATTTTAATTAAAAGGTTTTTCTTGTGTCATCGTGGAAACAAAAACATTAAGAAACTGAAAAAGTACATTTTTTCTATAACGGATATTTAAAAGTTAATGATTCTATATATACACCTAATTTAGGGTATTTTACAAGAAAAGTACATGTTTTGAAATCTCTGATTTTTTTTCAAAATTTACAATAGTTTTATCTCATTCGTGACAAAAAAGACGTTAACGAAAAGGTATTTTATTGATTTTCTTTGATAAACCTACAAAGGGATATGATTCAGCTACAGATTAGAACATACTTAATGGATGTAAAAGAATTAAATAAACTATGTCATTTTGGAATGTAATTATATTTCGTACTTAACAGCCATAAATGCATAGAATATGAAGTAAATAAAATAAAAAGACGATATATATATATATATATATATATATATATATATATATATATATATATATTCTTCAATGAAAATTGTGCGAATATATATTTAAAAGTAGTAAAAAGAAAGTAAGAAAAATGTTTCTTAATAATGCATAAAAATGTATAAGACAAAGATGAACAAAAACACTTCAAAAATAATATGAATAAAAAGGTTATGTCTACTTCGTTCTCTGATTTAAATCATGCTGTAATTTTTGAATTTATAATGTTTAATGCAGAAAAAAATAAAAACATAAAACTAGGATGATATACACAGAATTGCTTGAATAAAATAAAACAGCTACAAAAGAGAATAAAAACTTCCAAGAACTCCATAAAAATATTTCTCTATTTGCTATAAATTTATTGAATTTAGGAAGTGAAAATAAGAGGGGAAAGTACAAAAAGAATTTGAAAAGCTAGTGGAAATGTTAAAAAATGAATAAAACAAATGCGAATTTTTTTTACAAAGTCAGATTTAAGGAGGTTCTAACAAAGCATTTATCTCTTTTAAAAGTAATTTAAAACATGTTGGGTTAATGAAATTTAAATGCACAAAGATTGAAATGCCCGAGGACTTTTGATTTCTAATTTAAAATTCAACAATTGTTCTTTTGAACATTTGTACGAAAGAAAAAAAAGAAAGGAATGTGTTTTTTCTTCACAATAATTTTTTACAAAAAAATGAAAGAAAAAGATTAAAATTTGATATGTTTTCTATTCTCGGATATTTGATATGTTTCCTACTGTTCTAGCACATTTTTAAGGTACTTTTTGCTTAGAGGGGTTTTATTATTATTTGTTTTAATGGAAAGAATTTTATGTTAAAATTTTAGAACATTTAAAAACTACGTTTTATCCCATATCCAATGATGATGAATATTATAACTGTTCTAACTTGTGATATTTATGATCTGTATATATATAACTTCTTTTATTTACATTCAACTACATATCCATTTTCTATACTTACAACCCAATTTTTAATCATAATTTTCATCGCGTCCCCCTCTATTGTGTATTGAATTCAATAATAATATACTTTGACGTTAAGTTACAATACGAATTTAATTATATACTGCATAAATTATCAAGATAAGTATGAAATTTTGTATATAATTTTATGACATCCCATAGAGGCAATGGTAATTATTATACTTGTTCTTAAGGTATCCAACTACGTTCGGAACCGGGATTTTAAAGAAGTGCATTAATGGATAATTTTCCTGATATTTAGTGTTACTTAGATTAGAATGCACTTATAAAATTGTTTTAAAGACATTATGACAAAAAAAATATTTAAATACATTATTTTGGCAAAAATTTAACTTAGAATAACCCTTTTTTTCAAAACGTTCTCTTTTTAAAAAATGCCTCTATAATAATAATATTTTGCTCATATAAAGTAAAGACTTCTCCAGAGAGTCTTAACTAAGAATTTTGAAAACTTCACATTATTTTCAGAGTTACCACCAATTGAAATAATTATCGGCGTTTTTTTCTTAAAATTTCTCCCCTCTGTTTTCGTAAAACATGAATAAACCCACTTCTAAGTTATATGCTTCAGAAATTCTAGTTGAGTCTCTGAACAGAGGTCTGAGCTTTATACAGGCAAAATATTATTCTAATAGAAGCTTTTTCCCAAAAGGAGAATATTTGGAGAAAACATTATTCTAAGTTGATTTTTTTGCCAAAATATTGTATTTAAATAACGTTTTTGTCAAAATGGCCTTAAAACAATTTTACTCATATATTTTAATCTAAGTGACACTAAAGATCATGAAAGTTATCCATTTATGCGCTTTTGAAAATCACGGTTGCAAACATATATATAATCGGATAACTTAACTTATTACTGTTAAATTAATTGTGAAACACACTGTGCAGTACTGATGCATTTATAAGTGTATTATTTATAAGTATAGATAAGTGTAAATGTGTATTTTATTTTTTATCAAGTCCGAAAGCATTTGTTTTTCTTCCTTTTAATAAATTTAAAATTTTTTAAATATTCTTTTGTTTTCGACTTTTCGATATACTGGCGCACTCTTGTAGTGTTTTCACGCTCCCCTAGGGGGCACTCCCGACAGTTTGAGAAACACTGGCTAGCACAAAAACTAATTCCGGATTTTCAAATCGTAAAGGCCAAAAACGACCTTAAAGTTCCCTGAGCAGCCAAAACACTGTACAGTTAGACTAAAGTTGGTGACACTATGCCAACTTTACAAAAAAAAAAAAAAAAAAAAAACATTTAGACGTTGTGCTCTGTTTGTGCTCTTCTAAATCACATAAGAAGAAAAGAAGCTACGTTTTTAAAGTTTCTTGAAATGTCTCATTGTATGGTGTTTTTTGAAATTTTATGGAATGTAATACATATAAATTCTCAAATTTTCGAATAAAAATATATCTTACTAAAAATTGCTTTTGTAATTTTTAGCATTTGAAAATTATATTTTATACATATTAAGTAATGCTATATAAACAGAAATGCAATATAAAAAATAAAACTGCTTCCAGTGGGTGATGGGAAAATTACATTTCACGAAAAAAATGGTCTTAAAAATGAAATTGATTTTAGATGATAACAGAAAAATGAATTTGAATGCAAATATATTTTAGCATATCTTTACTGGACGAAATGGCGCTATAAAGAGTTCAAACCGTATAATAATTTCAGACCTATAAAATGCCACTTTATTAATAATGTAATAAAAGCGTGATTAAAAAAAATCATCCTTCAAATTATTACTGTAAATTCCGGCATATAACGCGTACCCATACTTTCAAGCAACATCTTTTAAGATTTAGGTATATTCACTGTATAATGCTCACCCCCTTTTTTACGAAGGAACCTTAAATGTACATAGTCAAAGACATTATATCTTGAATTCATTTATTCGAGGTATTATCCCAAACTTTTGCAAAAATAGTATACCTCTAAAAGTACAACCCTTTAAGTTCATTAAGTATGTCATTTCTTTTTAATAAATGATATTCCAATTTATGTCGAAGTATAATTTTTTTTCCTACTCATATTTTCATTTATTTTTGAAGCGTACCAGTAAGTTCCAACCTTATTCAATTCCAACTCTTAGTTCACCCTAAAAAAATATATATATAAATTTATTTACTTATTTATACATACATACATACATACATACATACATACATACATACATACATACATACATACATACATACATACATACATACATACATATATATATATACATATATATACATATATATATACATTTATATATATATACATATATATATATATATTCACTTTTATTTTATTATACTATATATATATATAGTAAAATAAAATAAAACTGAAGAAATTGTAGAATCTACAATGCTAAAGAAAGAAGAAGAGGAGTTCACAAGACACAAACAGATGTAGATACAAAAAAGTCTTTGGACTAAACTGGAGACCTATTATGATTTCTAAAGCTGTCGCTGAATTAGGCCAGTGATTTAGGGTTACCAATGTTTTATGGATCCAACCTTTTCCGTACAGCAGATATACGTATATATATATCTTGCTCAAATTTTCAATCGTTAATAAAATACTTTCTATTCATTCATTCAAGTTCAAACACATTAATTTGAACTTGTAATGGAGGACACTTGATATTAATACAGCTTTTTCAAATATTAATTCAATAATTAAAGTTAAAAATGAATAGATAGTAAAAAACAAAAATAATAGTCCAACAACATATATAGAAAGGAATAAACATCATTGAGTCCCTGGAGCGTAATAGATAGCCCGTTGGACTCCTAATTCAAAGGTCGTGGGTGCGAAACCCGCCTGGGATGGCCTAATTTCTGAGAATGTGATTCCTTTTTGGCTAAACTATTTTATTAGAATAATTAAATTTATTAATGAATGAATAGGAACAAACAAACAAAAATAGTCCAACACTCTCTATAGAAAGGAAAATGGAAAATTGCAAGGAAAATCACTTTCTATTTGTTCACTTAATATTGTTATTTCGTCATATGTATATACATATTTAAATTAATTGTTACTATTTAATAAAAATTAACTAAAATAAAACTTTTCTTTGTTGATCTGAGTAGGAATTCACTTAATTTTTGTATATTACTTGTTGTAACTTATCAGCACTTGTAATGAGAATTATAATTATAAATTCCGTAAAATTAATTCAAATTCATAGATTTTTAAAAATTTCACTAAAGCAGGGATGGCGAACTAATGGCACGCGTGCCATTGACGGCACGTGACACAATATTTGGGCGCGCCACCGATCAAAACAGTTTGCATTTTAATTCAAAATAACAAAGCTCAATATCAAGTATTACGGACAAACACTTGTGATCGGTCGCTGTTTTCAGCGAGATTTTCTCAGTTCAAAGAATTATCGGAAACACTCAAGTTTTTTATGTACTCTTATGTGATTTCATTTAATAAAGTGAACTTGTACCACTTCAATTGATTAGAAATTAAAAATTTTGAAATGTAACTGATTGATTTCCAGTATAGTTCAATATGGATTCAAAAATTTGTTGAAAATAAAAGAAATTTAGAATTGATTGAAACAGAAATATTAACATGCAATATAATTAAAAATGCTAGTAATGAAATTCTGGGAACATAGAATTCCATTTCAGACACATTTAACTCTTTGAAAAAGCTTGGACCATGCTATTTTAACCATATTTTCATCTACCACTGCCTGCGAATCTTTATTTTCAGAGATGAATAACATTAAAGACTCGTTTAGAAATCGTCTGGAGAATGACTCATATTCAGCAAGCATTTTGCTACAGTTCTAATATAAGTTATTTTTCATCTAATCTCTGCAACAGCACGCACATTAACGTTACTTTAATTTGAATGACACGTATAATTAAAATATTTACTACTATAAAATAAAAAATGTAGTTTTTCGTAGTGAATAAAGAGTTTTGAGTTGTTAGTACTAAGTTTTATTATTTTCTCAATAATCAAAAGTCAAAATTATTGGACATGGCACGTCTATACCTCATAGAATATTTCTTTAAAAAAATTGCACGTTGATCCATAAAGATTAGCCAATCCTGCACTAGAGAGTTGTAAGTATCTGTCCTATATTACTTGTTTGTTTGTGTTAAAGGTACACACGAAATAAGCCAAAACTTATAGTAAGTAAATTTGTTTCTTAGAAAAAAATATTACGTCACAGAAACATTAAATTTTACTGTAACCCTAAGTAAAAATTGATTTATAAAGGCATTTTTAATATTTTTATTCATATATTTAATTCCCTCTCCCCCACAAAACAGACTCGTTCATTTCACATAAACCTACACATTAAGGTCCCATAGTGGTGAACATCGCAGGCATTCAATAAACACCATAGATTTATATGCAGCGATGCATAATAAAGTTGGTTCTACTAAACTGTTAATCTCCAGGCGCAGAAAATATTTCATAAGCGTATGAGCGATGTGTATGCTTGCAAACTCCTGACGCTTCATTAATATTACAGATTTATTGCAGTGAAGCATAAAAGAAGAAACTGTTCTCGGCGATTATCTCTCGAGACAAGAAATGCCTCAGACATCACAAATGATATATTTTTATCGCTATCATTGTTCCTGAAATTGCATTTGCACAGATACACGACGCTCGCACTATGAAAAGGATAAAAAGCACAATCAAAATATTATCTCGTATGCAGCATGGCTATTTAAAGATCATGCTCTTAACATGTATCAAATAAAATATTTCGTTTTCATGATTTCATTCAAGGCAAGTTAAACATCTTTTAAGCTATTTTCCTATTAAAATTGCACAAAAGAAAAATAATTAATATACTGCAGTGCTTCTCAAACTTTCAATATTTGCTACCCAATTTTCAATTATAATTTTCACCCTGCCCCCCCCAAACAATAAAAATGTATTGAATTCAATAATAATGTGCTTTGGCGCTAAAGCTATAATACGCCTTGAATTATAAACCATACAAATTATCAGGATAAGTATTAAATTTTGTATATAATCTAACATAAACCAAGTCCATGCAGTCTCACTATTAAGTTAAAACACCCATTAAAGTAGTATTGTTAAAGTAGTATTGTTAAAGTAGTATTGTTAAATTAATTATCAAAGACATTGCGCAAAACTAATACATTTATAAGTTTATTATATCAGTGACAATTTGTATTTCCTACAGTGTCAATTTAGATTTTTTAATTCCTAATATTAGCTCGCAATCTCTATTTATTTATTTATTTATCTTAGTGGAATTTTCAATTGTTAATAAAATTCATTTTAAAGTGCTCAATTGAGCTGAAATCTTATATACATGATTATTTTGGATGACAATACAATAATTCAATTATAATTAATAAAAATTAATTGATTAAAGCTAATTATTCAAATAATTACAAATACAGCCACGTTGACATCATTTTTGGCGACTTGTGTCAAAACTTGAAAAGTTTTTTTTTCTCATGTAATAAAGCATTCGGTTGAACTGAAATTTATATACACTATATTGTGTTTTGGATGACAATACAATACCTTAATGATAATTAATAAAAATTAATTTTTACTTAAGGTTGTGATTCTGCTCTATGGATTATTATCTTAATTATATTAATTGTAACTATTTAAAAAAAGTAGCTAAAATAAATTTTTCTTTGTTGATCTATAAGTAGGAATGGATTTAATTTCTTTATATTACTTGTTTATTTTTTGTTTATTTTCAGTAAATAAAGAATATTTTCAAATAAGCTTTTATTTTTGACTTTTCGATGTGCTCTCTCCCCGAAGTTGGGCTATCACGCCCCCTTAAGGGGGAGGGCGCACTTCATATTTTGAGAAACGCTGAACTGAATAATATATAAAACCTTGGAGAGTCACTGTTATATTATAACGTCTCTCTATAAATCCTCACGAGGACTGTTGATGATGAACGTCGAAACTTCGAAGGAACGTTAAGTGACGGGGACGACGCATGAGCTTGCACACTTCCTCTCTCCTAGCATCCACACCAACAAGAGGACGTTTGAGCCTTGACAGATTTAAAGTGAGAAGCCTCTTCTACACGGTTGGTCTTCAGAGGCACTAGTCTCGAAGTCATGACACGTCAGTGACGAGACCTTGACCTTGACCACTAGTCTATAGTGTCCACACTACAATCTTTGGCATCTGCACATACGAACATGCATTATTTATTTTCTCGACTAAACCAACCTTTCGTAATTAAAATGAGCTTTATTTTAATTGATTAAACATAAAATGCTTTTAATTAACTTCTTGCGTGCGCCTCATATTAACGAGCTCGAGGTTGGCGTGTTATGAGTTCGAGCACTTGTGCTGCTGCAGACACTTCATATAGAGAGGCCGATGCACATTAAATCTGCCGTGGCTCAATGGCCTCCCATTGGTGATGTGTGGTAGTTCGGAAAGGAAGATGCAAGTTCAAGGGTCGTGTTCATCTCTTGATCGATGTTAAAAAATACGAAATTCGGTACCTTTAACCCTCGTGTTGCTGTATAATTATTTATATACCAGGTGTCCACAATTAAACGACCCTACTTCAAAATTGTCTACAGACGAAACTATTGTTCAGAAAGTTGTAAAATGTTGTGCACGACATAAAGAAGAGATGGGAATTTGTTTGAGCGAATAAAAAAAATTAGTTCAAAATTTCGCCACTAGAGGGCGCTTTTGAATGAAGGCCATCCATAGGACGCGGTAACACAATAACTGATACTCATTAAAAAACACAATCTCTAAAATGAACTGCAAATTTTAATTAAACTTATTCGATGACTAATTTTCAAAGGATTTACACGAAAGAAGACGAAAATATGCAAATTTGTTCGACGTCACACAGCAACTGTTATAAAAGCAATAAACTTTCATGGAAGATTAGTTTATTTTCATTGTGCTCGGTATTGCTAATCAGAATGTCATTATGTTTACCAGATCGAACGTTGTTAGTGAAGTTATTCTATCAAAACGATAATTCCGCAATAGTTGCTCTACGGAAATTTCGGGCATTAAAGGGGTTGTGAAAAAGTCCATTGACTGCTAAAAATCTTCGATTGATGGTAACCAAATTTGAAGAAACAGGATCGTTGAATGTTCATTCTGGAAGAGTAAAAAAACTTGTTTCTACGAAAGCAATAGAGAAAGTAGCACTTCAGGTGGAAAAGGACAAATCATCCAACGTGCTGGCTAGTACAAGTGTTCGCCGTGTGGCAGAAGCATTGGATCTGCCTCGTTCAACTGTCCAGAAGATCATGCGAAACATCCTCGGTTACTATCCATACAAGCTTCAATTTGTGCAGGAATTGCTTCCACATGATTTCGAGACTCGACATCTGTTCTCACTGCAGTTTCTTGCTCGTTTGGAAGTTGATCCAGAATAGCCTTGGAATATCCTCTGAACAGACGAAGCTTACTTTCATTTGGACGGTTCGGTGAATACTCACATCTGCCGAAATAGGTAAACAAACAATCCGCATTCCACCTTACGAGTTCCGCTACACTCACAAAAAGTAACGGTGTGGTATGGGTTTTCCGCGTCTTTTATTCTTGGCCCGTATTTCTTCGAGGAATTAGGTGCTGGAGGTCCAGTAACATGTTCTATCACTGGACAGCGATATGCATCGTTATTAAGGAATAAAATTATTCCACATCTGCAAGCACGTCAGTGCCTTTCACGCATAATTTTTATGCAAGATGGAGCTCCTCCACACATTACACGTTGTGTTACGGACGTTCTCAAACATCACTTCACAGAAGAACGTGTGATCAGCCGCCAATTTCGTCATCTGTGGCCTCCCCGATCGCCTGA